CAGCGACCACTCCCCCGTGTTTGGGACATTTGAGGTTGGAGTTACCTCTCAGTTCATTTCCAAGAAAGGTGACTATTCTGGATATGCTTGCGGCTGTAGCACACATCTGGGGGCACAGGTGGAGACCTGGGACGTGCATGGCTTCGAATATATGTGTGTGTGTACACGTACATGTGAATGTTTCTGAATATGATGTGTGAGGGTGTCTGTTTGCCCGGGTCATCGTAAGAGGTACATGCCCATGAGTGTGTGTGTGTATGGGTGACTGGCTATCTGCCTGGGCCACATGTGTGCTCCTGAATGTGCCCGATGGTGTGGTGGGTTATTGGTGGGCAATCCCTGAGGCATTCTGGCCCCCAGCACCTCTTAGATGACCTCTCATCCTTGAGTTGCCTGTCTGCTCTGACCTAGGGTCTGGGCCTTAGGGTCTCACTCCCTATTGGCTTGTTGGGACTGGGAAGGCCAGGACTCAGTCTCTCTGTCCTTGTCATCCTGTCACCTTCTCAGCCCTCCTGTCTTCCTTCCGCCCTCTGCCCCTCAGGGCTCTCAAAGACTTCAGACCAGGCCTACATTGAGTTTGAGAGCATCGAGGCCATTGTGAAAACGGCCAGCCGCACCAAGTTCTTCATTGAGTTCTACTCCACCTGCCTGGAGGGTCAGAAGGGGCCCAGGGCTGGAGTGGGCCAAGGGGCGTGAGGGGCCAGGTGTGCCCAGAGCAGTTAGCCCCCTCCCGTAGTTAGAGCATGCTAGAATCCCTGGAATGTAGAGGGAAGTGGTACTTAATGGGTGTTCCCCACCTCCACCCCAGAGTACAAGAAGAGCTTCGAGAACGATGCCCAGAGCAGTGATAACATCAACTTCCTCAAAGTGCAGTGGTCTTCACGCCAGCTGCCCACGGTGAGGCTGCAGGCAGGGCCTGGGGCTCATGGGTGAGGGCTCAGAGGGTTCAGTGGAGCATATTCAGGGCCTGCCTGGGAGGGCGGGCAGACCTGCAGAGCACATGCGTGTGTGTGCATGTCAGGGGGTCAGGGTGGGCATAAGTGAGGAGAGGGCGTTTGCTTCATTTGGGGCCAAGTTACAGTTTGTCCATTTGTTTAATCATTACTTGTTGAACCTTTGCTAAATGTCAGGTCCTATGTTGGCCATTGAGGATGCAGAAAGTGAATTAGTTACAATGCTTTTTAAGTGCCATGAAAGGCCCAAATAGGGCGGTGTCTTCTACATTAAGGATTTGGGTTCTTTCCTTAAGAGCTGAATTGAAGTGATCATGCATGAGCCTGAGGGTAGGGGTGAGTGGTGTCTGGCAGGAGGGGGTAGTGGGGGCTTTGTTCCTCACTGGGCCTCTCCACTCTGCAGCTCAAACCCATTCTGGCTGACATCGAGTACCTGCAGGACCAGCACCTCCTGCTCACAGTGAAGTCCATGGACGGCTATGAATCCTATGGTGAGGGCTGAGGGGGGAGGGGGGAGGGAAAGGGGGTACCAAGGAACAGAGGAAGCCACACGGGCCCCAGAAAGGTTTGGCAGTTTGTTGCTTTGCCCTTTCAGGGGAGTGTGTGGTGGCGCTCAAGTCCATGATTGGCAGCACGGCCCAGCAGTTCCTGACCTTTCTGTCCCACCGCGGCGAGGAGACGGGCAACATCCGCGGCTCCATGAAGGTGCGGGTGCCCACAGAGCGCCTGGGCACCCGTGAACGACTCTACGGTGGGGGCTCCGTTGGGAGGGGTGTGGGGCACGAGATGAGGTGGGGTGGGTAGGCCGAGGAGGAGAGGACTAGGGGTGTGGGGAGAGCATGCTAGAATCCCTGGAATGTAGAGTTTGGAAGTTCTGCAGCCATGGCTGGGAGTGGGCCTGCCCTGAGGGAGTACCTGGGAGGAGGCTGGAAGGTCAGTGAGTGCCCGGGATCCAGGACCCCAAGTCCCCTCTGAGTCCCCTCTCCGTCTCCCCCAGAGTGGATCAGCATTGATAAGGATGAGGCAGGAACAAAAGGCAAAGCCCCCTCCGTATCCCGAGGCAGCCAAGAGCCCAGGTGAGCTGGGGCGGTGGGGTGTCCTGTGAAGGGGTGCCTGGGGGCTTTTGGGCAGCCCCTCCTTCATCTCCCCTCCTTCATGGCAGGTCTGGGAGCCGGAAGCCAGCCCCCACAGAGGCCTTCTGCCCACTGTCCAAGTTATTTGAAGAACCAGAGAAACCACCGCCAACGGGGAGGCCCCCAGCCCCTCCTCGAGCTACTCCCCGGGAGGAGCCCTTCACCCCCAGGTGAGAGAACTGACCCACCCCTGTGCGTGGCTTTCAGCACCAGCCTGGGCACTGTCTGCTGCTTGGGTGCTCTGCTGCCCCCTGGCCCTGCGCCATGGTCACTCTGGCCAGCCAGGCCTCCCGTAGGTGTGGCTCCCCGAGTCCAAGGGAGCATAGTCAGCCTTTCCTCTCAGTTTTGCTTTAGAAATTGTTTCTGCAACAGCTCCGTCCACGTAAACAGAACTCATGTGAGCCTCCTGTGTGGAGAGGCACACGCCTCAGCTCGGGGTCTCCCTCGGCGCTCTCTGTGGAGCACTCGCTGTCCTATGGTGCCCCCTGGAAACGGGTTCTTGCTGGTTTCTTTTCTTAGATATTCCCAGTGCACATTAATATTAGCCAAAGCTCTGAGCATGTGGACAGGAAGGAAACCCTTTTTCAACTTTGATGAATATAGTTTCCCAAACTTAATGGACCAGGAAACTTCTTTTCCACACAATGACTATTAATACCCAGTGTTCTGTGGATTGTACTTCGGGAAAGTGACTATATCCAATTGTTGCTTGAACTTAAAACTAAAAACTCCTCGGTCCAGGGGGTGCCTTTTCACTCATCTTCAGCTGTCCTCAGTCATCGTGGTTTTATTGCCAGGTTTGTGTAAAACTAACTTGAATTCCTGAGCAAGAGTCCTCAGTAGGTCAGCCTCAGATGCCTCCAGAGAGGGACAGTGATATATGCTCAAGGTCACGTGTCTCCCGACTCCCAGTCTGGTTTTCCTTCTCCCTCACCCACTACCTTCCCTTTGGGTTTCCGGGTCCTGACCTAGTTATCCTGCTCCTTAACCCAGGTTGAAGCCAGAGGGGGCTCCAGAGCCTGAAGGGGTGGCGGCTCCTCTGCCCAAGAACAGCTTCAATAACCCTGCCTACTATGTCCTCGAAGGGGTCCCACACCAGCTGCTGCCCCCAGAGCCACCTCCGCCGGCCAGGGCCCTTGTCCCTCCTGCCGCCAAGAACAAGGTGGCCATCACAGTGCCTGCTCCACAGCTCGGTCGCCTCAGGCCTCCCCGAGTGGGAGAGGGGAGCTCATCCGATGAGGAGCCCGGGGGCACACTGCCCCCTCCGGACTTCCCACCCCCACCCCTGCCAGACTCGGCCATCTTCCTGCCTCCAAGCCTGGATCCTCTGCCAGGGCCGGTGGTCCGGGGTCGCGGTGGGGGTGAGGCCCGTGGCCCACCACCCCCTAAGGTCCATCCAAGACCCCCACTGCCCCCAGGGCCCTCATCCACTAGCACTTTCCTGGGGGAGGTCGCCAGTGGGGACGACCGCTCCTGCTCGGTGCTGCAGATGGCCAAGACGCTGAGCGAGGTGGACTACGCTCCTGCTGGGCCTGGCCGCTCGGTGCTCCTGCCAGGCCCCCTGGAGCTGCAGCCGCCCAGGGGACTGCCCTCAGACTATGGCCGGCCGCTCAGCTTCCCTCCGCCTCGCATCCGAGAGAGCATCCAGGAGGATCTGGCAGAGGAGGTGTGTGGACCAGGGGTGGCTGGCTGTGTGTACCTGAGGTGTGTGCTTGCCCCTGGCCTGCGGTGTCCTTTTACACCAGTCAGCACTCAGGAGTGTCCCCTCTACCCTGAGCTGGGCACTGGGGAGTTGGGGTACATGAATTAGCCCCGTCTTTGCTTCCCTTCCCTCCACCCCGGGACCTGTGGTAGAATGTGGCTGTCTTTCAGTGCTCTCCCTGACATGCCCCGTTTCTTCAGGCTCCGTGCCCGTGCCCGTGCCCGCAGAGCGGGCGGGCCGGCGGGCTGGGTGAGGCGGGCATGGGCGCCTGGCTGCGGGCCATCGGCTTGGAGCGCTATGAGGAGGGCCTGGTGCACAATGGCTGGGACGACCTGGAGTTTCTCAGGTGGGGGTGGGGCTGGGGGCAGGTGGGCGGGGCTTGCCCTGGGGCGGAGCCACGGATCCTCCTGGAGTCCAGAGTCTGGACTACCCCGCCCATCTCTCAGCCTCCCTTACCCCTTTCTACAGCGACATCACCGAGGAGGACCTGGAGGAGGCTGGGGTGCAGGACCCGGCTCACAAGCGCCTCCTTCTGGACACCCTGCAGCTCAGCAAGTGATAGCGGTGGCACTGTGAAGCTGCGAGTTCAGCGCCCCTTCCTGCCCCCACGAAGATCCAGCCGTGGCCCCCAAGTGGAAAATTTATGAGGGGTGGGCAGCACCTCTCTACCTATTTATTTGCGTTCCCCACAACCCAATCGTTTGGGATGCCCTAATTAGGACATCCTGCCTTTTATTCCAGGGGCACCAGAAGTCAGTTACCATGGTTACCAAGGACCTTGGTTATTCTGGTGCTGCCCATCCTTTCTGGACCCCTCAGACCTAAGGAGTGTCTGAGGGGCCCATTTGGGTAGTCTGGACCCTCACTCTCACCAGTTCTTTGGCCTGTAGCACAGAGGGGGCGGCTCAGTTGGGACCTCTCCCCAACACCCACTCTGGGGTGTCCATCCGGAAATGAAGGAACAGTCCAAGTCCCGGGCTGGGTTTAATTTAAGATTTTTCTGTGTGGGTTTAGGGCGGGCAGGGACTTTAATGTTATTGGGGCAGTTGGGAATGGGGGATGAATCTCTGCCATAAAGTGCCAGTTTGCTTAGTTCTGTCTCCTGGTCTGTGTGAGTGCGCGGCGGCCTCTGGGAGCAAGGGAGACCCGGCTCTTCCCAGCAGCCAGCCTGTCCCCATCCTGGGCACTCAGAGGGGTTAGCGGCATGATGTCTTCAATAAATTAAGTTTTATTTGGATTAAGCAAAACTCACCTCAATAAATTACAAGTTTCTCAAAAGAAAAGACCAACAATAAAACAAAACAAAAATCCAGAGGAAACCTCTCTGTCCCATTGGCCTGGCAGCCCCTCCACTCCTCTGAGGGCCTACCCTCCGGGCCAGGCTGGTTGCCAGACGGGAGGAAACGCTGGGGGACAAATCGGTGGGACCCTTCAGGCTGCTGATTATGGTGAGCCTGAGGGGGGGGGCAGCTGGCTGGTCACCACGCGGCGGGGAATGGCCCAGCCTGCGGCAGAGGGGAGGGGCCGGCTGGTCCTCCCGGAGGACCCTCACGTTGGAACCGTTAGGAACCGGCAGGTGTTTGATCCCCGTTCGGAAGAAAGCCCAGCTAGACGCGACTCTGGGCTCTCCTAGTGGGGGGGAGGGGGTCCCAGGGAAAAGCATCCCACTCTGCTGGGTGGGCGTAGGTGAGGACAAGAGTGGCTCTGACTTTGTCTCCAAAACTAGGGAGGGGACTCCTAGGGGTCAGACACAGTGGGGGGAGGAGGGGAGGGACCTTCCAGGAAAGCGGCCGGGACGGGGAGGGGCTCTGTCGGGTCTCGGAGGGGCTGGGGCGTCTCTGGGGCCAGGCCCGGAGCCTCCATAGTCCGGCGGCTAGAAGAGATTGGTCTTCAGGGTGGGGCCGGGCTTGCGGTGGAAGGAGGACAGGACCCCGGAGAAGGGCCCGGGCCCCGGCTCTGCGGGCTGCCAAGCCTTGAGCAGCTCCGCGGCGCCCGCGCCGGGCCCGCCGCCCCCGCCGCCCGCCACGCCGGCCCACAGGGGGCCCTTGAGCGGCTGCGGCCCCGGCCCGGGCCCCGAGCCCAGCGCAGCGGGCAGCGGGCTGGGGCTCAGGCGCGGGCTGGCCAGGCCGGGCGCGGGCGGCGGCGGCAGCGACGCGGTGCTGTCGGGCGTGGGGCTGCACGTGGACTCCTTGGAGTCGTCGTCCTCGGACGAGCAGCGCGCCTCGCCCTTCTTGGCGCCCGCCGTGCCCGCCGCGCCCTTGGCGCTGGCCGCGCGCTCCTGCTTCCGGAACTTGGCCCGGCGGTTCTGGAACCAGACCTGCGGGCACAGCGGCCGGTCAGCCCGGGGCCGCGGGCGACGCTTCCGTCCGGAAGCGGCCGGGCCGGGAGGGTCAACGGGCTTCCCGGGAGGCCCCTCCGCGGCCCCTCCGCCCTCGGCCGCTCAGCTCGGCCTCCTGGTCCACCTGCCCCTTTCCCCAGGGCCTCAGGGTCTGCGGACCCCGCTGGTGGGAACCCCGCCTTTCTCTCCTCCGCTCCCAAAGGCCCTGGCCCCATTCCCTCCTGCAAGACGCTCCGGGTACCGGCCCAGAGTGTCCCAGGGCGCGGACTCTAGGAGAAACCTTTTGTCTCCAGTGAGGGCGGACCAGCGGGACACTGGACTCGAATTTGTAACACAGACATTGGAGTCCGCCTGGCCCGGCGCTGCCCTCCCGGGGTTCCCGGCTCGGGAGTCTGGCAGCTGCAGCACGGGGAGGGGACCTGGCGCTGGCGGCTCCCCGCGCCCCTGCAGGGAGCTGAGGCCTCCGGGGGCACCCCCTCCACCCGCCCAGCCTCCGTCCTCGCTCCCCAAGCTCCGCTCTGTGTGCCCGGCCCTCCCAGCGGGACTGGAGGGAAACCGTGGGTCTGACCGGCTCAGTTCTCCCGAGGGCCCCGGTCTGCCAGGGCCCGGGCCCAACGCCTCGCCGGGCTGCCTGTCCTCTCCGGCCAGTTACCCCGCCTGCACCGGGCCCCGGCCCCCCGCCTGCACCGGGCCCTGGACTCCCGCCCGCATACCACACCTGACCCGCCCGGCGAGGCCCCTCGGTCCGCGGCCCACAGGTGTGGGCGATAAACCCGGTCCTCTCGGAGCGCACACCCCCGGACCCGCGCGCGGAACACGCACCTGCACGCGGGCCTCGGTGAGGTCGATCTTGAGCGCCAGCTCCTCCCGCGTGTAGATGTCGGGGTAGTGGGTCTCCGCGAAGACGCGCTCCAGCTCCTTGAGCTGCGCGCTGGTGAACGTGGTGCGGATGCGCCGCTGTTTCCGCTTCTCGTGCAGGCCCGACGGCTCCGGGAAGAACTTGTAGGGCACTGCGGGCGCGGAGGGAGGGGGGGGGGAGCGGAGGGTGAGGGCCGTGCTCCGCCCGCCGGGCCCTGCCCTGAGGGCACCGCTCCCCGCCCCCGGCCCCGGCCGGGGCCCGGCCCCTGGCTCCGTCCTCTCGGCCTCGGGTCGAGAGTCTTAGCGGCTTCTCGATGGCTCGCTGGAGCCAGCTGGGGTCACAGCGGACACGGCGCAGTGAGACCCCAAAGCAGCAGCGAGGGAACCAGAATCCGCCCCCCCTTTCCTCCCGTCAAAGCCGTTAACCTGTGGCCGGCCTTCGCCCGGTTCCCTCCACCTCCCGCCGGTCCACCACCAGCTCCCACCCTCCCATCCTCGGGCCTCTCCCTCAGCCACTCTGCCGCCCGGCGCCAGGTCCCGCGCTGTCCAGCCGCCTGGGCTGGCTCTCGGGCCTCATCAGCACCGAGAATCTCCCCGGGAACCGGCCCTGGACTCAGCAGGGAGGCGGAGACTCCCAGCTTGGGTCCACTTTCAATCCTGCCACAGTCCTTCCGCAGTGCCATCTCCTCCTTCCCAGGCCTCGTTTCCCCCGCTGCACCTCACATCTTCCCGGCGCCTCTCTCTCTCTGTCCTCTCCGCCCAGACCTCCCGCTAACTTTCCAGTTCGGGACGGTTTTCCTGGTGCCCTTTGGGAAGTGTCCTTGTTTCTCCCCACCGAGGTTTCTCCATCTTCGCTTTGCCCTTCTTCTTGCCCTTCTTGTCCTGGCGGGCACCCCTCTCTCTGTCCCAGCTCCCCCAGTGCCGGCCCCTCCCTCCCCCCCTCACTCTCTTCCCATCCTGGTCTCCCGTCTACCCCATCCCAGTCCCCACTGTCCCATAGACAGGGTTCTGACACTGCCTCCCCATCCCTCTCTCCAACTCCCACTTAGGTCTCCATATTCTCCAGGAGGCCCTCAATATCCTTCATCGCCGTCCCATCACCCTAGTTCTCTCTCCCTGAATCCCTGTCTCGAACACGTCATCCTATCCCCATCTTCCTCATCCCCATCTCCCATACTTCTGTCTCCACCACCTGATTCTTACCTCCATCTCCCCAACCCTGGGCCCCTATTTCTCCTAGCGTCCCCAATCTTCCATCTGGCTCACCCCTCTTTGTACTGGTCCCTATCTCCCCCAGCTCAGGACTCCATCCTTCTGGGGCCCATCTCCCCATTTCCTTTCTCCATTTCCCAGTCCCCATCCGCATCAGGCCCAGAGCACCCAATCCCCCCCCCCCCCCCCCCCCCCCCCCCCCCCATCCAGTTTCTGACTCCTTCTCTCTGGATCTCGCTTCTGGCTTCTCCAAATCCAGGTCCCTATCTCACTATCCCTCCCCACCCCACCCCTAGGCCCCAATCTTCTAGGTGGGTCCTGGGGGTCTTCCCAGGAAGGAAGGAGATAAGGAGCTTGGGTGGGGCAGCTTGGACTGTCATTGGAGGGCTAGGGTGGCTGAGAGGCTGGCTCTATGAGGCCGGAGGTTCGTATGGGGACTTGGATCAAGGGGCGGCTTCTGGGTTCTGCAGGACTCTGGCTGGGAGAGTCTCCAGGGGGAATACGGACATGAAAGTGGCGTAAAGGCCTGGGCACCTTTTTCTCCGGGCATGGGAGTGTTTCCGTGGTGGAAGAGGGTTTGGGTTCAACACCAGCAGGAGGGGCCTGGTGGCTCTGGGCTCTAGGAAGGTTTTCGCTGGGCAGCTCTGTTGCTGGAAGGGTCCTTGCTGGGGTCGGGCATGAAGTGGGGTGGTGATGATAAGGATGGGGGTCTGTTAAACTGAGCCGGGAGGAGCATCTTCCAAGAACACAAGGGATGGAGAGGTTTGGGGGTCAGTCTTTGCAGGTAGGGAGGGGAGGGCCTGGTGAGGGGCCTGGGGCTGGACCGGCTGTTTCCTTGACCCTAAGAGTGTGGGATGGGGATGTGGCAACTGGGAAGGATGAGAGTGGGAGGCTCAGCGCTGCCCGTGGTAAACCCGCCTTACAGGGAGGGGGGCAGGGGGTCCAGCGGGGCACTGGAGGAAGGTCTGGCCGGGGCAGAGATGGTGGCGGCTGTTGGGGGCTGTCTCCATTACTTGAGGAGCAGGGAAGGGGCTGGGGGACCTGGAGGATTTGGAGGGAGGGTTGGGCTGGGGCTGGGCTCACCTGCCGAGTAGGGCGCGGGCTGGTGGTCGCGGAGGGCGCCGAGCGCGCAGTTGGAGGAGCCGAGCGCGGGGCAGGGCGGCCCGGCGGCGGGGAAGGCGGGCCGGAGCGGGCTGTACTGGAAGCCCCCGGGCTGGCTGCAGGCGCCGAAGTCGCCGTAGGCGGACGCCTCCATGGCCGCCACGCAGGAGTCGTACGAATTGAGGTAGGAGTAGTCCATCGGCTCGGGGGGTGGGGGCGAGGACGGGGGCCGGGCCGGACCGGGCAAAGTCGGGGTCGGGGTCCCGGGCCGGGTGCGGGTCGGGGTGGGAGTTGGAGTGCCCGGCGCCGAGGAAGGACCCGAGTCCGGCTCTGGACACCCGCGAGCCCGCCCGCCCGCCCCGTCGCGGCCGCGCTCCACCCGGTGCAGCTGGGCCAGTGCCGCCCCGCGCGGCCCGCGTGCCTTTTAACGCGCAGGACCCCGCCGAGGGGGCGGGGCGAGATCCGGGGGCGGGGCCTCGACGGCCCAGACCCCGCCCCCGCTGCCCCCGACCCCACCTCCGCCCCAAAAGGTACCCGCTGCCTTCGGAGGGCTCCGGAGGCTCAGGGCGGGGCTGCGCGAGGACCCCTCGCCGGAGTCCCCATCCCGCCCGGGTCCAGCCCAGACCCCCGGTCTGTACGCACCGCACCGGGCCAGCCCCGAGGTCCCGACCCCTCTCCCCGGCGGCCCCACCTGCGGCCCCGCGCAAGGGAGCGGAGACGGGCCCGGCAGCGCGCGTGTGAAGTTAATTCAATTCGTCCCGATAACCGAGTTATTCCGATCCAGCAGCCCCTCGGCCCCGCCCCCCCGCGAGGTCCCTCCCGGCGGGGACCGATGAGGCAGCGCTGGGAGGGGGAGGGAGACGGGCCCCAGGAAGAGCGGAGCCTGGGACGGGGACGTGGGTGAGGAGAGGAGACAGAGACAAACAAGGAGAGGAAGGGACAAGACAGAGGCAGGCGCGCAGATGGAGACGAGGAGGAAACGTGGACGAGAGAGGACGGTTGGAGCCGGGGGCCATTGGAAGAGAAGGCAGGGACGGCGATGGAGACAAAGGTGAAGCATGGACTTGAGCAGAGCAGGGGTGGGGATGGGGACCAGACAGAGACAGAGACCGGGACAGAGAAAGGAAGGCAGGCGGCATGGAGGCAGAAGGCAGAGGAATGAAACAAGGATTGTGGTGGAGATCAGGAGAGAGATGAGAAAAACAGGGCAGTGATAGTGAGACAGACACCCACGGAGGGACAGTCTCAGAAAGACAAGGCCAGGGATCAACACAGAGGAGGGCCCGAGGCGGAGAGAAAGAGCCTTGGGTGAGCTGAGCCCCGCGAGCTGAGCTGTAGCGCCCAGAGTAAGGATTGTGCTGCAGGCGCCGTGGCTCCAAATCCTGTGGAACCTCCAGCCCCTTCCCTGCTCCTCAAGTGACTGAGACAATCCCCCACTGCTGCCACCATCTCGGCCCCGGCCAGGCCCCCCAATGCCCGGCTTGGACCCTCAGTCCCCCTGTAAGACGGGTTAACCTGGGCAGCGTTGAGCCTCCCACTCTCATCCTTCCCACATCCCGATCCCACACTCTTAGTGTCAAGGAAACAGCCGGTCCAGCCCCAGGCCCTCTCCTCCCTACCTACAAACACTGACCACCAAACCATCTCCAGCCCAGGGGAGGGTCACAGGTACCCAGGCCCCTCTGTCCTCCTGACTTGTCCTGAAGGCTCCACCACCTTGTCCTGAACCTTTAGGGCCAGATAGGCCTCTCCCCTTCCAGTTCCCCCATCTCAGTCCACCTTTCCACTGCCATCCAATGTGACCATCTGGTTCCCCGCACCTTCATCACAAAGTGTGTGATGAATGTTAGGACAGGGAGTAATCTAGTGGCACTCTTTTCTCTCCCTTAACCTCTGGCCTCCCTTCTCCAGAGAATCTTTGGAAAACCACCCAGACTTTCCCTGGACCTGGCCACAGACACGCTGGCCCTCGGCAGACTCAGCCACTGCTTAGTGGGACCCAGAAACCTTCCCAGGGGAACAGAATAGAGAACTCTTCTGCCCCAGCAGCTCACCTTATGTAGATGGACAGCTGCCCCACCCAGCCCCCAGCCTCCTGGACCCAAATCTTGGCAGGTCCAGCAAGCAGCCACCCTTTTACCAAAGTCCGTGGGGATAAGGGAAGGGCTCCCAGAATGCACCTCTGCCCCCGTTTACTAGCTCAATGGGGAGCATGTGCACCCTCAGATCACTCACTTCTCTGGCCACCCATTCTTTGCTTCACACAAGGACATCTCCATGCCAGGGGCTTCTTTGAAGTGTTTTCCACTATTTTTTGAGTCTAAACTTCTGAAATTGACAGTAAAACTGCTTTAAAAATTCTCCCCGCTGATGTGTGAGGTTCACCTCTCTCCCTTGACACATCCTCTACAGCAGTGGTTCCCAACCTTTTTTTTGGCCATGCCCCACCTAAAGCATCTCTAAAATTCTGATGCCCTCCTTCCCATGACGTAAAATTCTTATTCAAAAAGTGAACTCCTACTCAGGCGGAGGAAGCCTAAAAGGCCATTAACTTAATCTAAGCATGCTTTCAAAGAACAGGGCATCCATGAAAGAGAAAAATAAGAGAATGAAAGGACAGTTGAAGTACTGAGAAAAAAAATCACTAAGAAATTGTAAAAAAAATAATAATATAAAGTGATATGAAAAAATAGCAAATAAAGTTTCAAGACATATAATAGAGAACAGAAATGCATAAATATGTCATAATATATATTTATATACTGTATATGAGGCCCCAAGAACCATAAGAAATGCAAAAAATTCATTGGTAATAACTCATTCTCAAATTGCCCCCCTTAAAAGTAAAAATGTGCCAAAACCAGTTTGGCTCAGTGGATAGAGCGTCTGCCTGCAGACTCAAGGGTCCTGGGTTTGATTCCGGCCAAGGGCACGTGTGTTGGTTGCGGGCACATTTCCAGTAGGGGGTGTGCAGGAGGCAGTTGATCGATATTTCTTTCTTATTGATGTTTCTAAACTCTCTGTCCCTCTCCCTTCCTCTCTGTAAAAAATCAATAAAATATATTTAAAAAGTCAAAATGCCCCCCTGAGGGGCATGTGCCCACCTTGGGAACCCCTGCTCCACAGGAAGCCCAAGGGTCCTCAGAATTGGGAAGTCAGATGGTGCCACCTCTCTCTCCAGACTTCCCATGGCTCTCCATTGCCCTCAGGATAAAATCCAAACCCTCGCTCTAAACAGTGCCTGGCACATAGTAAACAGGTAGATAAATTAGCTACTATCACCTCCACATCCTTTTCCTGTCACCAAGTGACCCGGCCCTGTGTGACTAGACCCAGGCCACACTGTGGTCGGGCTCCTCTTACTCTGTCACACCTGATACCTCGATATCTAATCTGGACACAGAGCCCTAACTTTGCATGGATGGCAGCATCACCTCTTCCCTGAAGATTTCAGAAGTTATTAGGTCCTGCAGCGTTACCCAGCCTGGCCCTTTAATTAGTTTTTGCAGATGAAGAGATTGAGGCCGGAGAGGGGACCTGTGAGAAGTGTGGAAGTAAAGACAGTGGGAGTGCGTCAGGGTAGAAAGACCCCCCACTACTCCCAGAGAGAGAGCAGCGATGCAAAAAGGAACATGAGGAGGTTCCTTTTTCGTCTGCTCTTATCCCAACTTTGACAATTATTCTGGGAGCTGGAGAGTGGGAGCGTCCTGAGAATGAATGAGGAAGGACCCATGCCCTGGAGCACTCTTTCTGCCTGTGGTCTTTTGGAGAATGGTAGCCTGAGACCACCACCGCCTTTTCCCCGCTTCTAAGAGCAGCCACTGAAGTTAGCCTCCCTTCAGAACTCCAAGCAAGGATCTCCTGGCCCCAAGGCATGGCCACCATGCTGATTTATCACCCCAATGCACTCCTAGGCAGTCTCTCCAACGACGACGAGGGGAGAGCCTGGAGTCCTGGCTCCTCCCTCAAGTGCATCTTCTCACGCTCCGAAGCGATGTCTTCAGTGTCATCACTGTACAACTATGATTGGAAGCCAAGCTTGATCAGACATCCATGTCTAACTTCTAATAAGGGATGGAGCTTATCTATCAGGGAAACATTAGCATTGTCTGGCTCTGCTTAAAGATCCCAGAACTGCCAACCCTATTTATCTACCAACTTCATTAACAGAATACACCCGTCCCCAAGCAAATTAACTATATATTCTCCCAACCTGTCTATCATAGAGTCTCTCTGTTATGGGAACAACTGTTGATCTTTCTTTCTTTCTTTTTTTTAAATATATTTTATTGATTTTTCACAGAGAGGAAGAAAGAGGGATAGAGAGTTAGAAACATCGATGAGAGAGAATCATCCATCAGCTGCCTCTTGCACACCACCTACTGGGGATGTGCCCGCAACCAAGGTACATGCCCTTGACTGGAATCGAACCTGGGACCTTTCAGTCCACAGGCCGATGCTCTATCCACTGAGCCAAACCAGTCCCAGCTGACTTTTCTTTTCTTCCCACTAATATGGCTACCCAGTCATCAAGTAATTTCCTTTCCTTTAAAAAAAAAAAAATCATCACCTGCTGAAACCGGTTTGGCTCAGTGGATAAAGCGTCTGCCTGCAGACTGAAGGGTCCCGGGTTCGATTCTGGTCAAGGGCACATTCCCAGTAGGGGATGTGCAAGAGGCAGCTGATCAATGATTCTCTCTCATTGATGTTTCTAACTCTCTGTCCCTCTTCCTCTCTGTAAAAAATCGATAAAATATATTTTAAAAAATCATCACCTGAGGATATATTTAGAGAGAGAGAGAGAGAGAGAGAGAGAGAGATATGAAACATTGACTGGTTGTCTCCCTTACTTTCGGATCTGGGGATCGAACCACAACCTAGGTATGTGACCTAACCAGGAACAAACCAGCAACCTTTTGGTGTAAGAGACACTGCAACCAACTGAACCATCCAGTCAGGCTAATTTCTATTTTTATCTTGAGCTTCTTAGTTTTAGGCCTTTCTGGGGCTAAAAGTGTTCAGCCTTCATGGATCCCTAAAGAATGAGGAAAGATCTTTATTTAGTTCTACAAATACATTTAAAAAAATATATATTTTATTGATTTTTCACAGAGAAGAAGGGAGAGGGACAGAGAGCTAGAAACATCAATGAGAAACATCACCAGCTCCCTCCTGCACACTCCGTACCAGGGATGTGCCCACAACCAAGGTACATGCCCTTGATCAGAATCGAACCTAGGACCCTTCAGTCCACAAGCCGACGCTCTATCCACTGAGCCAAACCAGTTTCGGCTTATTCAAGTTTTTTTTTTTTGTTTTTTTTTTTGTTTTTTTTGTTTTTTAAATATATTCTATTGATTTTTTAGAGAGAGGAAGGGAGAGGGATAGAGAGCTAGAAACATTGACGAGCCGAAACCAGTTTGGCTCAGTGGTAGAGCGTCGGTCTGAGGACTGAAAGGTCCCAGGTTCGATTCCGGTCAAGGGCGTGTATATTGGTTGCGGGCACATCCCCGGTAGGGGGTGTGCAAGAGGCAGCTGGTCGGTGTTTCTCTCTCATCGACGTTTCTAGCTCTCTATCTCTCTCCCTTCCTCTCTGTAAAAAATCAGTAAAAATATATATATATTTAAAAGCACCTCGGTGCTGGCATTAAAAAAATTTTTTTTTAGAAACATCGATGAGAGAGAAACATTGACCAGCTGCCTCTTGCACACCCCCTACCGGGGATGTGCCCGTAACCAATGTACACGCCCTTGGCCGGAATCAAACCTGGGA